TGCTTCCATTGAAAAACCATTATGTATAGAGCTGTACATGACTCGGGTCATTTTGGACCAGTGACACACTTAGAATTTTGAATTTATTTTCATAAACTGATTGTCATTTTTGCCTTGACAAATGAAATATACAGTTACCAAATAGGAAATCCAGTATTGTGCTGTAGGCACCAACTAGTTTCAATTTTGTAAAAAAAAAATAATAAGGGTGGAGGTAAGAGCAAAATCAGGTGAAACTGTTTAATTCCTATCTTTACCACCTCAAAGGACCTAAAATGATGAAAAAAGGGTCCAGACTTTCAGCTGTTTCCTTCAGTGATCCCATCACTGACTGGAAAACTGACTTAGGGTCTGCAACTCATAAAAAGGTTCCTTGCCAATGGACAAGGTATGAATGGTTTAAAATAAGGGGAGATGTATTTGGTTTTGACAAAAATAAATGTTTTCTCTAGAAGCAGACATTCAAAACATTCAGCAAGGGAGCGGATTACTCACCACAGGCCTTTGATGTACAATATGTAGAAGGTACCCACAGATAACCAGAGCCGGTGTCCAAAAGAACAAGAAAATCTTGTGGTGGAGTCCCAATGCTTATTTTTCCAAAGTAATAAGACTGTCAAATAAAAATATTTATGAGGCAGGTTTTACAAAAACTTCGGAATAGCTAAATAAGTAGGGGCCTACCTCTCCCTGACAGTACATGCCCGTCCTAGAGATTAAATAGGGGAGACACTCTCCAATCCCTTCCCTGAAATGTTGCCGTCTAGTGGGACCTCAGAAGTATCTCTATGACTACAGGAACCTCTTCTGGGGCTACAAACATTCAGGTGACTACAAAATGGCAGCAAAGAGGCACAGTGCACTGTTTGCTGCCATCTCACAGTCTCCAGATTTTTGAAGCGCAAATCTTGGCAGCCCTATACAGAAACTAGATTTCTATTCATTCACAAAAACAGTTATTTTTTATTCTCACCTTGCCCATTCTCCATGAAAAGGAGAAAAAAACATTTAAAAATCTGAAGGATTATTTGTCTTTTTAGTGGTGTTGGGTATGAAATGAACAAATAAACCAAACTTTGGTTTAGTGTTCATTGAAGAGTATATACTGGACTGTATGATGCTTTAAGACCAAGGCTTCTTGTTACTATCAAATATAGTATTTGGATCCAGTGTGACTTATTCAGAAGTAAATGGATTTATAATTCCAGTTGTAGACTATGTCACTTTTGGGAGTAAGTTATGCATGGACTGCTCGCCTTGTCTTTTATTTAATCAGAGTAAATCAATAAAGAGGAATTGCAGCCCTAACCCAGAAAGGTCATAGTAAAAAAAAAAGTCCCAAATACATATTACATTAAGTTGCTCTTTAATAAGATGGACATATCTGGGTATTATTGTCAGAACATAGTGATCCAATCACGTGACACTAATAAAATACAGAGAACTATTTTTTGCTGAATAATAATCAGAAAGAATAATCAGCAAAAATTAATAAGCTGCAAAATATGTTGCTGAATAATCAGGTAGCATCAAAAATTGACTGAAATAAATAAATGGATTGTGTTCTTTCCTATGCTCAGGCATCGGCAGACAATTTACAGTTACTCATAGGAGAAAGAAAAGATGAAATAATTGATACTTCATTATACATAAATAATATCCTATTTGATTCTGAGAAGAGCTATCACAATGTACCAATAATAAACTAAAATGCTAGAGTTACAAAGTCAGATGAAGGGGCAGGAAAAGAAAAAAACAGATTTCTGTGGTTTAAATACTCACGTCCAAATAATTGGTCATTGGTTCATATGTAACACCAAATTTATTGAACTGATATTTTAATCCAGGATCAATATGGTATTTTTCTAAAAATTCTTCCAACACTCCATTCTCTCTCATATTTTCACGAATGGATTTTCCTTTCTTCAGAATGATTCTACATACCAAG